TTGAGGCAAAACATCAAAGAAAAATGTCGAGGAAAGCTCTCCAAAGGTGTCATCCTGTTACATGACAACGCCTCATCACAAACTGCAGGTGAAACAATGGAAAAACTGATGTCCTTAGGCTTTCAAGTGATGTCCCATCCACCCTACAGTGGTACCTCGCTAGACGACGACCTCCTAAAATGATGAATCCGCATGACGATGAGGTTTTGCGATTGCTATAGTGATTCACAAAACATTGATTCCAGTGGGGGATTTTTGCTGGATGATGATTTGGTCTGTGTTTCAAGGACCGTTTGTTCGCAAGAAGACGATTTCTACAGCTAATCGGCGGCTCCGCAAAATGGCTTCCCTGTGCTTTCAGGACCCATGCTACACAGGACAGCCATTTTAACAGCTGATCAGTGCTATGGGGGATCTTTGCTGGACCACGACTACACATTAAATGGATTTCAATGCATTCCAATGGGGAAACGCTTTTCGCATGACGATTATTTCACTAAACAGCGATTTCTGTGGAACGGATTATCATTGTCATGCAGGGCACCACTGTAATCTCCCGACCTGGCTCCTTCTGACTATTACCTGTTCCCCAAATTCAAAAAACACCTAAAGGAACAACGATTTGGGAGTGTTCTGGAGGCAACTAATGCTGCAAATGAGTGGTTACACCAGCAGTCAGAAGAATTTTATTTGCAGGGACTTAAGAAGCTGCAGGACAGATGTTGCAAGCGCATTGACTTCCTGGGGAAATATGTAGAATAGTGTGGCAGTTACAGCTTCCTAGCTCAATGTTTTCTGGGAAAGGCTCAATACTTATCAGCACCCCCATATAGATCTGCTAATGTTATATTGCCTTCATAAAAATCCATGGTGCAACCACACTTTGGATGAAATTGTGTTGCTTAGTGTACTAAGCCCCACTAGAATAGGCCATGTGATTTAGGGAGCTTTCAATTGGCAAGAAGCAATATCAGGCCACTGCTGCTAGGGCTGAGACCAACTTGGCAATCCAGCAGTGATTTTTTTTTTAATATTAAAAGCCCTCCTTCTTGTTCTGAGAGTCCCAAAGACCTTTCCAGGTCTAAGGGGAGATCTAGGGAGCCTCAGAAACAGAAACAGGGTGATAGGAAGCTTCACATTAAAATTAATTAATTCTGGCGACCCAATCTGGTTTAAGTTGACAGAAGTACATTTTATCTACTGTCTCCAACTCTGAACACTTCTTTCTCAAAAAAGGATACTGTAGAGTTGGAAAAGTACAAAAAAGTGCAGCTGATATCAGGGGCTTGGAATTTTGTGGGCTTGTTATTTTAAACAAAATGCAGTTACATAAGAGGCTGGTAAAATTATCATAGTGTAGGAAGTGAAGAGAGAGAAGTTTTTCTCCCACTTTCATATGATGGGGTCATCACCTTAAACTAAGTAGCAGGAAGATTCAGGAGAAACAAAACAATTGCTTGTTTATTGTTATTATTACATGCACATTTATTTATGGAATTTATTCTTACAAGGATGTGGTGATCAGCTTACAAGCCACTAGCCAGTGTGGCATTAGATGGAGATTAAACAAATGTGTGGAAGGTAATTCCTAACAACTAACTTCCAGAATGGTAGCCCTGAGATAAATTCAGACTTACTGAAAAGCACCTTCTTCCCACTTGTGATGTAGACACACTAATGTTGATACATGTTAATATACCACACTACTATACCAAGTGCTTGCATTTTTTTTTCACCATCTTCTGGACTAGAAATTACATGAAACTCATTTAATATTTTCAGAGTCTGCTTTAAAAGTTATTAACTGTATTACATTACAATTTTAACTTAATGAGAGAGAGATCTTCGTCTGCATGGTAAATGGAACTTGTAGTTCATTTTTCTCATTATAAGAGTACAACCTCACTAAATGGTGAAGGAAAAAAATCAGGTGAATCAAGGATTCACTTCTGCTGTGCCTCATTCTGCTTCCTCATGTTCGCAAGGTAGATGGGCAGTGTATTGTGTACATACAGGCCAACAACTCAGAGTAATAATATTTTCTTTTTCTGAGATACCAAAAGTACCTATTTTTGTTATATTTGGGGAATGGGAAAGTAAAGACCACTGTTATAAAGGTACAGTGGGGTCTCTACTTAAGAACTTAATCCGTATTGGAAGGTGGTTCTCAAGTGGAAAAGTTCTTATGTAGAATCTGCATTTCGCATAGGAATGCATTGAAAACCATTTAATCTGTATCTGCTCTTTTCCGTCCATAGAAACTAATGGGAAGCTGCTATTCCACCTTCTACCACTAGAGGGGGATATTTTTTCTTTTTTTCCCCCTTAGGTCAGGGAACAGTGTTAAAAGCACTTCTGACGAAGCTAATTTTGAAGCAATGGACTGAAAACCAATTAATCTGTTCTGGCTGTTTTTTTGTTATGTAGAGGTGCGTTCGTACATTGAAGCATTAGTTCCCATAGGAACTAATGCAAAGCTGGTTAATACCACTACCACTATTAATTAAAGCTGGTTAATACCACTACCACAATTCTCTACCACTAGGGGGAGAACTTTTTTTTAACCTAAGATGACCTAAGGTTAAAAAAAGAGCAGGAAAGTTTTTTTTTCCTGTTCTTATCTTGGATTTTTGTTCTCAAGTAGAAGCAAAATTCAGCAAATGGAGCTGTTCTTAAGTGGAATTGTTCTTAAGTAGGGACGTTCTTAAGTAGAGACCCCACTGTAACAATAATAGTAATTAATTTCCAGCCCTATAACAGCAGTTGTTATTCAATGTTTCTTAAAAGCAGTTTTCCAAGTACTCAACTATATCACAATAATAAATAGGCAAAAGCATCTCCAGCCAACTATGGTCCTAAAAGCAACAAAAGAGTATAGCAGGCCTTGCCTGATTTCTTTTCGCTTATGTACTACATTCATGGACCAATACGCTGGATCATTTCATTGCATAGAGCTCATGCTTGCCATTAGTCAACCCAGGTGGAATTGTAACAAACCCACTGATGTGCGGGGTTGGGCATAGTATACTGACGTCTATATCAGACTGGCATTAATTAATTTTTTTATCTAGATGGAAACAGTGACCTTATCCTAAAATCAGATTAGATGATGGCTCGTTTTTGGAATTTAAATTGCTAGCACATTTCTTTAAGAACACACAAAGTTAATAAATCTTGGTTTCTTTCACTAATAAAATCCTTAACTAGACACCATTAAGCCAAACTTCAACAAAAGGGGCAGAGCAGTGTTCTTTACCAATGAAAGCAATCCATTATTCATAATATGTATGAATTATTTAAGGACTGTACATCAGCAATCTAAAACATTTATATCAATTTTACAAAAGTATGAAATTCATGCTCCACAGTGATTTATTCTTCAGCAACTGTCAGGCTTCTGACCAACTGTACACACTACCTTTTTGAAAGCCTTTTAATTCAAAAAATAAACCTAGATTCAAACATTCTTCAGGACAGTATGTAAAATTTTCTTCAGACTACACTGTTCAAAAAAAAAAAAAAACCAACTTACAATCTGGTCCTATACTAGAAGAACTCAAGAGTGTAATAATGAAAAAAAAATTACCTGTCTTGAGTTCTTTTCTAGGAGAAACGCGGGATAGAAATCAGTCAACCAATAAGACATTTGAAGAAGTCTGTAGTATTTTTATGTATGAGGGCTGTGAAAAAAACTAAAAATACATGGTCTCCTGAACGGCAATATCTCTAACGACAGGACAAGCTCCCTAAAAATAGCAGGATACAAAGTACAGAATAAAATATAAAAAATAACCTTATTTTTTTGGAATCTCACACACTGCCCCAAAACGAGACAGGGGAGCAAGCAAGAGACCACATAGATTGTATGAATCCTGGTCACTGCTTCTTGCATTTTGCACTTTTAGGGAAGTGGTTGCTGATTATGTGTGTTAATGCATGACTGTTATAGAAAGGTTGGTGTATTCAGCTCAGATTTAGGTAGTACAGTATTGAATAATGTTTGATACTGTTGATTTTGAACTGAATTAAAAATGTAAGCATTCAATGTTCCCTCTAATGTTTAACCTTCACGCATCCAATTCCTCCCCTGCACGAGGTTCCGTCACAACCAGAACCAAAGGGGCTGAAAACTATTGCTATCTGTGCACGGAAGGAGGAGGGAGGCTACATGGAGGGAGGTAGAGTTGCACAGGTGCACACCTTCAAGGAAACCTTGATAGCACTGTATTAATATTAATTAGTATTAATAACATGTTTGAATTGTTCGCAATAGACTTTTTTTGCATTTGTATTGCTGTTTCTGCATTGTAAGCTTCTTAGGGCACATTGTGTAGAAAACGGTCATATACATTAAATGGGATGATGATACAATGATGATGGATGCAATCAATGACTTGTGCCAGTCTACATACTGTTTCCTATTTAGTCTATAGGTAAAAAAAAACTTCTTTCCCAATACAGGACGTACTGCACCAGTAACAAGTACTGCAGCTACACAAATACACATAATACAGACCACCTGTATATGGCTCACAATTCTAAAAATATATATGTATGGCATGTTTCATGTTTAAGAGCATCAGACTCTCTCCCAAATAAATACTGGATCAGACATAGAAAACCAAAGGGAGTTAGCAAACTGATGTCATGACTATGTTGTTGTTTAGTCGTTTAGACCTATCCGACTCTTCATGACCCCATGGACCAGAGCACGCCAGGCCGTCCTGTCTTCCACATCATGACTATAATATGATATAATTTCCAAAAAATACCAAACACTCAGAAACTCCCAAAGACAAGAAAAAACTGGAGGGAAAGGGCCCCAAACCACAGGCTTGATTTAGCAATTCACTTGGGAAAATTCTGTTTTGGTGGAGAGCACTTTAAAGCATGCTGGAGTAAATATAAATATTTATGTTTCTCACACTGACAAATAACACAGAGAGAATTCTAAAACAGAATGCAAAGACGTTTAAAAAGCAAACTGCAGAAGTACTTACAAAATCAAAATCACCATCTTGAGGAACCTTCCAGTTATCAGGGAAGACGTTCTTCGATATGTGGTAGGATTCATGCATATTTTGATTGCAGTTTTCATGGCTTTTATTCTTGGAATCTTGTTTATCAAAATAATCCATAAAGGAAGGTCGCTGCGCCTGGGGTGATGTAGCATTTCCTAATTTAAAAATCAGAAAGTGGTAGCTATCATTAACCATCTAACAAAACATCCATGGTTGCATCCTAGCTATCAGGCTAACACAGTCAACAGGACAAACAAGCAGAAGGCATAATCAGAATGGAAAACACATGCTGAAACATTGTTGTGATCAGATGAAGTAATATATATGTCAGTAATTCAGGACAAATCACTACTACACTTTTAAATGTACTGTATGCACAGCGTAACCTGCTAATGAAACTCTGGAAACAATAAAATTTTACGAAGCTGCTATACTGTTTTCTACAGCAAATACTATCTTCATCACAAAATTACAATGTACATTACATTATACCTCTTTTTTTTAGTCATAGTTTCTCTCAATGAATTCTAGGTACTGTGGCTGCTATATGGGACTGCTTAGATTTCTCTGTGAGACATCCTTAATCCAAAGATTTATCTCAAAACAACAGTTTTCAGTATCACACAAGAAAAGAAATGACAATTCACAGGTAATTACACTTTGGAAAGATTATTACTTTCTTTCGCAAAACAAGAGAAAAATGGGAAAGAGAAATGTGTCAGTTTGTGGCGTAGAAATGTCCAATGTTACAGAAATAATTAATCTTTTGCAGAATAATTCTAACGTATTTCAGAGGCTTCCCCCCCTTTATTTGTGTCAGAAGGTGTGCAGTTTCCTGCTTTTCTCTGCATTTGCAAAGGATTGTATTGGTACAACACCCCAATTTTTTTCCTAGGTGCACTCTGTGGCCTATAAAGTGCCTTCCAAGTAATCCAGTTCTTTCTTTCTTTTTCTTTCTTCCACATGCTGCTCTGCTATTTCTTCAGGATTCACACATGTTCTGAAAATCTTCTTTCTTGATTTTAACCTGAGATGAGCCACTATATTTTTCTGAATGTCATTGAGTAAAACACTTACTAAGTAATAGATTTTATTCATAGGGCTTGGCTTCAGGCATCCAGTGATCATTCTAAAGCTTTCACAGAGTGCTACGTCTACCTGTTTTGTATGGGCTGAACTATAACTCTGTAGAGGTTTTCATCTACAGAGAAGCACAGGGCCAGGCTGAAGTTCTTCATTTTTGTGCTGTGTGCCCCAACTGGTTCCTGTTAATACTGCTCCTTGTGGAGACCTTTTGCTTTGAATCTTGGCAGTGTCTCTTACAGTCAGCATAAGATCCAAAGTAACACCTCAGTATTTAGGACAAGACAATTCTCTAGTTGGATACCCTTCCTGGTAATTTGACTTTCCAAGATGCCTGCCTGCTTCTCAGATGGAAGGCACATATTTGAGTCTTAATATGTCTTGGTTTAAAATGATTTCTGTTATAATATTTGCCAGGTTTTTCTAATGTATCTGTTAGAAAATGTTCTGCCATCAGAAAGCGGTTCAACTGAGCAGCAAGTGCAAGATTGTCAGGACAAATAAATTAGTGGTGCCTCGAAGTGGTTGATTGTTGGTGTACATACTGTGAAACAAAGTAAGTCAATACGTTGCCTCCCAGCAGACCATTCTTATGATGCTTCCATTCTGCTGCATTGTCCTTGAAAGTTAATGAAAAATCTGCGGTTTTACAAAATGGTTGCCATTATGTTAGTCAGCTTATAATTCTTCATTATAGAATTATTGCAGTAGTACTTGATGATGTACAGTGTCATATGCAGCCAAGAGGTCGGCAAAAACTACCCCTGTGATATTTCTAGTTTCAAACCTATCGTCAATATATTGTGTTAAATGTTATATTTACAGTTTGTTCTGATATAAGGAGTAGTTCTTCTACTACCATTAGATATTTAAGAAAAATTATTTCCATCGCTTAATAAAGATGACAAAGTAGTAAGATTGGTATGAAGTGTTTTGGGTCTGTAGGTTCTTTACCAGCTTTCAAAATAGCAATCATTTGTGCCTTTCTCCAAATGTTCTGGAATCCTGAGAGATTCAAGGAAATTCTTAAATAAATTAAGGAGCCACTCTTTTGTTACTATGCCAAAATGCTTTATTTGTTCTACATAGATTTTATTTACATCTGCTGCCTTGCCATTTTTGCAGTTATAAACAATTTTGTTCAATTGGCTTAAGCTGAATTATCTTGTTAAGGTCACTGGCCTGCAGTTGCTTGTTTCTTTCTAGTTTAAATTTTGATTTCCTGTGTTCAGATCTGTCACTCATGAGGAGTTGATAACCTATCTTATTTGCTACATAAAATGTTGCATGAGTAGGGCTCTAAGTTGGGTCGTTATTAAAAGGCTTTAATAATCTCCTAGCCTTTTAACTGCTTCTTGACATATTTGTTTCTTCCATGAGCTTTATCCAATTATCTCTTTTAGTTTCTGAGATGAAAGAAATTAATTGCTGCCCAGCCAAAATGGTTTCTTCCCTCAAGGGATTTTGTTCAAAAAGCGAAAAATAATTATTCTTTTGCATGACTATTTCCATCTAAAATACCGCATCTCCTTCTATGAGCCTGCTCGAGCTTCAAGATCATCAGGGAATGCCTTTCTCTCAGTCCAACCACCCTCACAAGTGGGCTTGGTGAGGCCATGGGAGAGGGCTTTCTCTGTTGCTGCTCCCAGGCTCTGGAACTCCCTTCTACAGGAAGATAGGCTGGCCCCATCTCTGTTGTCCTTCCACAAACAGACAAAGACCTTTCTCTGTAGACAGGCTTTCCCTTAATAACTGGTGGTCTGAGAGGAGTTTTTTAAATGGATTGTTGTGCTCTGTTGTTTTAAATGTGTTTTAGTATTGATTTTATTACCATTTCTAATACAGTGGTGCCCCGCTTGACGATGAAATCGCTTGATGATGAGGTTTTTGCGATCTCTATAGCAATCGCAAAACAATGATTCAATTGGGTTTTTTTGTTTTACAACGATCGGTTCCCTGCTTCGGGAACTAGTTTTTCACATTACGATGATTCAAACAGCTGCTTTTCGGGTTTTCAAATGGCTCCCTGCTGTTTTCCAGACCTATTTCCGGAAGACAGCGATACAAAATGGCTTGCCCTATGGAGGATCTTTGCTGGACAAGCAGGTATTTCCCCCATTGGAACGCACTGACCGGTTTTCAATGCATTTTAGTGGTTATTTGGTGTTTTTTTTGCTTGACAACAATTTTGCTTAACAGCGATTTGCCTGGAACACATTATCGTCGTCAAGCGGGGCACCACTGTATAATAGTTGCTTAATTATTTTTAAGTATTTGTATACTTTTTAAAGGTTTTCAATATTGTCTTTTTAATGATGTAAGCCAACTTGGGTTCTTTTTAAGGAGAAATGTGGGAAATAAAGAAATAAAGAAATAAAGAAATAAAGAAATAAATGCATACATACATACATACATACATACATACATACATACATACATACATACATACATACATACATACATACATACATACATACATACATACATACATACATACATGGAGACAGCTGGTTCTGTACCCCTGGATTACTTATTTCATATACCACTGGGTTATATGCTCACTAAAGGTAAAGGTTCCCCTTGACCATTTTTGTCCGCTCGTGTTCGACTCTAGGGGGTGGTGCTCATCCCCGTTTCCACACCATAGAGCCAGCGTTTTGTCCGAAGACAATCTTCCATGGTCACATGACCAGTGCGACTTAGACACGGAACGCTGTTACCCTCCCACGAAGGTGGTCCCTATTTATCTACTTGCATTTGCATGCTTTCGAACCGCTAGGTTGGTGGGAGCTGGGACAAGCGACGGGCGCTCACTCCAACTGCTTGGTCTTCTGACCCTGCAGCACAGGCTTCTGCGGTTTAGCCCACAGCGCCACCACGTCCCAGCTCACTAGCAAATATAAAATCCAGGTTATAGCCACATTTTCATTTTCCACTATTGAAGGAGGGGGAAAGATTGTTATTATGAATGAAGACTAGTTGGGATGTTCCTGTCTGTTTTAACACAGCTTTTCCATTGTTTTCACCAAGAGCTGTGGCAACTGAAGTCTCCAAATTGTAAAATTTATTTATTTATTTTTTGCTCATGAAAATTGTTTGGGGTTTCTGAAGAAAAGGTTCCATTAGATGGTTTGTAAATGGAAGATACCACGCAATTACTTATCTGTACTGTTATTATCTCTATATAATCCTGTTCCATGACAGCAACAAATGGTATCTGGATGACAGGATTGAGTACTATAGTGCTTCCACATTGTCTATGAGGCCTCTCAGCTGCAAGTCTAATGCTAGACATTCTGGGGTGCTGATGGTGACTGTTTCTATGCATTTCTAAAATACAAGGTATATCACAATCATGTCTGTGGAATAGCTGATGCAACTGCTTTTCTTTAGATCAGGGTTCCCCAAACATCCAGCCCACCTTGCCATTTTATCCAGCCTGTTCCCTTCAGCCCATACGCACCTGCGGTGTCTGGGAGGGCAGGGGTGCCTGTCTGTGCAGGCAAGTGTCCATGTGGGCGGGCAGCCGGCTGCATGTATGCATGAGTGCACAAGTTCCTTCAGCCCTCAAAAATGTGGAAAATATGCAATGCAGCCCTCACGCTCAGAAATTTGGAGACCCCAGCTTTAGATGCTGACAATCCCTCTATGTTGCACAAGTTTATGGTTAGCTTTGACCCTTACAAGGGCCCTTTTATTAGTGCTATCTTGTAGGCTTCAAAATCATATTGTCAAATTCATCCAATAGTATTTGTATCACCTCACACTGAAGCTTCTAGAATAGAAGGATCAGTTGATAGATGCTGTTACCCAGCATCTATGTGTTCACATTCTTCAGGGAGATTCCTCTGTTTCCCACATTTCAGATACAATAGATGGTTATTTCTGTTGACTGTATGCTTACAAAGTTAAAGAATGGCCATATGAACAAAAGCATCTGGTCTTTGTTTACAAGGTAACTTTGGTTTTTCATATGGATGTTATTTTATATAAATGCTTCCACATTTGTAAACAAGGTGGTAAAGGCACCATCTCTTAATTTGTAAAGATTCTTCAGGTTTCATTGCTACCA